CATGTTTGGTGTGACAGGGATTCGAACACGCGACCCTCAGATTGCGAGTCGAGTGCCTTAACCACCTGGCCATGCCGCGCCAGCGAAATTGAAGCAGAATTATTACTCAGACTTATTTTGAAATAAATGCAGGTTAACTTGTACATAGATGATGAATCCTGCATTGCCATCAATTCCTTAAAAGCTTTATAGAATCATGAAATAAAACACAACAGAAACTTATTTTTCAGGTTGTTAATAAAACAAATAAGTTTGACAATTAGTTGAAGCCGATTAATGTTTAATCTTTAGCTAGCTTCTTTGAAACGAAACGTCAATTATGCAATGAAATTTTCCCATATTATATAATGACAGTATACATTTTCATCCTTTCTAATCTAATCAAAACTTCTATGAGTTAAAATCCCTCTCCTTTTGCCAATTGAAAACTACAATTATTTTATTATTACCTCAGGGGTGTAGTGTTGTCGAAGCGCATCGAAGCACTGCAACTGCACTTCAAATTGGAACTGAGCCCCAACATTTCAAAAATCAAAAAATACAGTGGTGGAAAGACTTATTAAGTCACCCAATATCTTTTCCCACTGTTCTTGGTTCCTGTTATTTTTTTTACGAGATCATGTATTGTGGAAGTGTCAGAATCAGTGTAAAAACGTTATGAACATTTATTAACAAACCAACCGTGACAAACATATTACAGCAGATGATCAACAACTACTTGGCAAATACGAAAATGTTCTCGGTGTAAGAAAACCTAGATTTAAAGTTAACACCACTAACGTAATTGGAAAAAAAAGTGGACACAGACTCTGTTTCTTGTTTTAGTATTTGGTTGTACTCCCTCTGGTCTTGATAACTGTTTGACATCGCCGTGGCATAGAGTGCACGAGGGGCTGAATGTAAGCAGGGGTGAGTTCCTGATGCCACATGCGAATTACGGCTTCCTGTAGTTTGTTACTCATTACTTTCCAGCAGTTTTCGATAGGATTGATATCTGGGCTGTTGTCTGGTCAGCATAGTTAGTATATTGATCCTCTCTGGTCAGCATAGTTAGTATCTTGATCCTCTCTAGTCAGCATAGTTAGTATCTTGATCCTCTCTGGTTAACATAGTTAGTATCTTGATCCTCTCTGGTCAGCATAGTTAGTATCTTGATTGTCTCTGGTCAGCATAGTTAGTATCTTGACCCTCTCTGGTTCAACTTGATAGTTAGTATCTTGATCCTCTCTGGTCAACATAGTTAGTATCTTGATCCTCTCTGGTCAGCATAGTTAGTATCTTGATCATCTCTGGTCAGCATAGTTAGTATCTTGATCCTCTCTGGTTAACATAGTTAGTATCTTGATCCTCTCTGGTCAACATAGTTAGTATCTTGATCCTCTCTGGTCAGCATAGTTAGTATCTTGATCCTCTCTGGTCAATCATAGTTAGTATATTGATCCTCTCTGGTCAAATAGTTAGTATATTGATCCTCTCTCTTCAAAGGTAGTCCTTCATCTGAAGCAATGAAATAAAACCTATGATGTCTTCTCAATTTCCTTTATATTTCATGTCTACTGTATAAAGTGTATGAATGTCACCAACCTTTTCCGCTCTGTGGCATGGAACAGGGTCATCCTGGAATATGGTGCAGATTTACCCTGGAACGAGGAGCAGAGTCATCCTGGAATGTAGAGCAGAGTCATCTTGGAATATGGTGCAGAGTGATCTGGAATGTAAAGCGGAGTCATCCTGGAATATGGTGCAGATTTACCCTAGAACGTGGAGCAGAGTCATCCTGGAATATGGTGCAGATTTACCCTGGAACGTGGAGCAGTGTCATCCTGGAATGTAGAGCAGAGTCGTCTTGGAATATGGTGCAGAGTGATTTGGAATGCAAAGCGGAGTCATCCTGGAATATGGTGCAGAGTCATCATGGAATACGCACTGATCGTCAACTTCGAAGTAATCCCGAATTGTTGGCTTTAACCGGGACCCAAGGGTCTCGATGCACTTGTCGGCATGGACAGTACTTTTCACAAAACGCAGGTGTTCCACACCCTGTGGATGTTTTACAGTTACATTTATACAGGCTGGATGAAACTCTTATCCACATTGACGTCATACAAAGTACTTCCCATCAGACCTGAGCAGGTTAAACTTTGATTCATTGCTTCAGTCCAGTCAGCATGCTTTTTAGTCAGTTTAGGCCTCATCTTCCCCTTCTAATTGGTGAGGAGGGTTTTTTTTCTTGACCTTCTTTCTGGAAGACCAGCTGAAAAGAGGCAAGACCGGATGGTGCGCGTGGTGACAGTGATCCCTGAAGTTTTCTTCCATTCTTTGATGAGATCTGTGGACGACAGTCGATGATTCTGCGGGCTCATACGTTTCAGAACATGATTGTCAGCTGTTGTGAAAACTTTCTTCCTACCCCTTCCCTTCCGCTGCTCAACACAGACTGGTTAAATTTAATTATTCGAGCAATCTGTCTTGACGAAAGTCCGTCTTTGGGACATGACTGCTTTTTTCCATGGAGTCAGCTCGCAACCACTTGGTCATGCGAGACATGACTGCTTTTTTTCCATGGAGTCAACTCGCAATTCCTTGGCCGTTGGAGACATGACTGCTTTTTTCCATGGAGTCAACTCGCAACCTCTTGGCCGTGCGGGACATGACTGCTTTTTTCCATGGAGTCAACTCGCAACCCCTTGGCCGTGCGGGACATGACTGCTCTTTTCCATGGAGTCAACTCGCAACCCCTTGGCCGTGCTAGTATCACACGCACGTTGAAACAGATAGGCTTCTAAACTAACTCTCAGTAAGAACCTCTATTTATAGTCAAAACACGCCTATTAGACAGTATTGCATCTTCCATGAAACACATTTGCACTTGCTTGCATTAGAGCCTCAAAACAGATTGTGATTCCGAAGAAAAGTGTGAAGAAATTAGGCGATGCGATACATTTTTCCACCACTGTATGTATGTATGTTTGTTTGTTTGTTTTGAATTTCGCGCAAAGCTACACGAGGGCTATCTGCGCTAGCCGTCCCGAGTTTAGCAGTGTAAGACTAGAGGGAAGACAGCTAGTCATCACCACCCACCGCCAACTCTTGGGCTACTCTTTTACTAACGAATAGTGGGATTTACTGTCACATTATAACGCCCCCACGGCTGAAAGGGCGAGCATGTTTGGTGTGATGGGGATTCGAACCCGCATCCCTCAGATTGCGAGTCGAGCGCCCTAACCACCTGGCCATGCCGGGCACCTGTATGTATGTAAAAAAGTTAGTCAACTTACATCTGAAATTGCCTTTCATAACCAAACACTTAACTAAGGGTCATTTTTTAAAGTTATTTAAGTTGGTAGGATAGGAGGCATGCAAGATAAAAATCAAGGTTGTTAATATTATAGTGCAGTTAGAAAGATCGTAAATTAATAAAATATGCGGTCTTAAAACGCGTTTTAATGTTAGTCATTTTTATACCGTGCAAACTTGTCATTATTTTTGCCTTGTTTTTTTAATTTAAAGAAGTACGGTTACGTGTTTTCTCTCCTCTACTATGTGTGTATTCAATTTGGCTTTAATGTAATTAGTTTTAAGTATCATTTCTTTCTTTAAAATGGACTAAAAATTCGAAATCACCTTTTGAGATCCTTATGGTGACGTCACACATCTGACAAATTCTGGCAGGACTCCGGCACCATGAAATTTAGCATTACACCACTGCATTGTATTTGCAGGTTTGTATTACACAAAAAAACAACAACGTATCTTTCTCTCTTTAGGTATATATATATAAACACACACACACACACACATATATATATATATAATTGCTGTTATAGTAAAAATTTTCATTTCAAATAAATTACCGTCTCCATAAGCAGCCATCGGGGAATGTGTAGTCGGTGTCTTCCACCAGGTGTTGTAACTGTAACAGCTGGTAAATAGAGGACTGTAGGAGAAGGCAATCCGGCTGAAACATAGAACGTTGTTATAGCATACAAGCATGTTTCATTAAAGAACAACGATCAAATAATTCATGTTTGATATTTCAAGCAGCTATGCTGCACGGTTTTTAGGGTTTGGTTTGGTATGTTTCATCTGTTTCATAAGAAAAAACTGACTTCACAGCAGAGAACTGTTTTGAGTTTTATGTAAATGGCGACCGTCGACCTTTGGGATCATGGTGTGCAAGAGGTTTTTTCAGATGCCTTATGAGTCTGTTTGTGGCTGACAAGCCCGATTCAAGAGCGATATAACTTATTACAAATTTCCCAAATCCATATGTTGACCGAGTGGAAATCCAAGTTTACAACACGTTGCTATACTCTATAAGAAAACCATCCGACCTTCTATGTTCTTTAATGGAGAATGATCATAATGATTAATGAACTAACATCTGGTTCGATTCCAAAAATCACATAGTATCCTGTGTATTGTTTGGTTTGGATTTCGCAAAAAACTAGCCATCCTTAGTTTAACAGTTACAGGCTAGAGGAAAGTCAGCTAGCGAACCCCATCAACTGTCAACTCTTGGATACTCTTTCACTAACGAATAATAGGATTAACCGAAACGTCCCAGACGGCTGAAAGGACGAGCATGTTCAATTTTATATAATTGTTTTCTGAAAAACTAAAAGCCGGGAGTGTGTGAATAAAACCAGTGTATATGCTTTAGGTACAAGTATTCTCAGAGTTCTGAAGCTATGTCGAATATAGCTCAAAATCAATGTATTGGCATTTTGAAACAAGCTACTAATAGTGTATAATTTACACTAACATTTTGATCGCGAGAGAGAAAAAATGCCTTCTGAATTAAAATTGTTTAAACTATTTTTTGTTTGTTTGTTTAAGCACAAAGCTACACAATGGGCCATCTGTGCTCTGCCCACCACGGGTATCGAAACTTGGATTCTACCGTTGTAACTCCGCAGACATACCGCTGTGCCACTGGGGGGGGGGAGGGGGGAGGGCTATTTTTTGTACAGAATATTTTCAACATATGTCACGATTAACTATCGTATTACAACATTCGTTTTTCCAGAGAAATCACACATCTTTCAACTGTTTAGTTTTGTGGAGACAAATGTTAAAGATTACTTTTAATACTTGCATAATGTTTAATAAAGATAATACATTTAATTAATCCACTCCACTGGGATTTCAGACTATTTTCCTATGTTATTTACCTTTATATTTAAAATTATATTATTACGTTATATTAGTTATCGACTTTGATGGATAAGACGTAATACAAAAACATATTATTTTGTATTCAACTGGCGGTCGTGGTAAAATGCAATAATCAAATAAACAGTTTTCTTAAGTTAAATGATTGCATTGATGAAATAGAATAATAAACAACTTTTCCACTATCTGCATAATATTTTTCAACTCAATTGATTGTATTGATCAAAGAGAAAGATACAATAACTTTCCAAAGTTGGTCGTATTGATGATATAGAAAAACGAAATTAAGTTTTTCAATTCAATTGATTGTACTGATAAAATAGAATGACAAAACAAGTACTATTTTTTTCCAGATTATTGTAATGATAAAATACAAGAAACAGTATTTCATTTAACGGTTATATATATGTGTGTGTGTGTTACAGGTTTATTTTCTTTTTCACTGAAGATAAAATTGAATAGCGAATCTGCGAAGTAGAGGCCTAAATTAATTTAGGTTATTGTATGGTGATTTAAAATGACTCAAAACCCCATAATCTTTTACTCAATTGATTGTATTGATCACCATAAACATTTTATGATTTTATTTCTGTAATTATCAAATATCCTTCTAACTTATGATTGATTGCATTTGAAATTTCGAAACAAAACGTAATGTTAGAATTAAATTTTAATAATATTTATAAACCTTCTGATGCTGTATTAACTTTTACATTAAGTAGGAAATATTAATATAATTATAGTTAATTATTTAAAGGAATTTTACCCTTTTTTTTATTCCACACATATTATTTAACAATGCATTCTTTGATTATTTTGTAGGTTTAATTATAGTAATCTAACAATTTTATGATATTTTATTGTTGGGCATTGGTTGTTGAACAAAAAATTTCGATTGTAATTTATTACAAGTTACAGCTTTTACAGAAAGTAAGATTATTTTTCAGAACATGTACGACGTTGCGATCATTCCCCAGTACACAAGGCACATTTGTGTGCTTGAAAGTGATCGCACCAGTGATCGAAATATCGTAACTCTTCTAAAAACTAATCTTCCTTACCGTAAAAGCTGTATCTTGTAATGAAATAACACTTAATCAATAAGTAAGCTCAACACTGAACTATTAAAGTTTGATTATATTATAATTAATGTAAAAACACGTTTTGCAAAAATAAATGAAATAATATGTCATGATAATTATTAGCTGGATAAAACATGATTTCATTGAAATGTAACGAGACTTTTAACGCCAAACTTAACTTGTATTGGTAATTATTAGCTGGATAAAACATGATTTCATTGAAATGTAAGGAGACTTTTAACGCCAAGCTTAACTTGTATTGAGTTTTCACTCAAACAAACAATTCATAACAAACTTTGTGTGTGTCTGTCTTACCTACAAATTTCTTTTTGCAGATAACTTTTAATGGTGCACTGAATAAAATCTGAAACATTCGACGCCATATTCATTATTTTACTTCTGGAACTGGAGGCAATGTAGTTTACAATTTTCTCGTGGTCCTACAAGAAAAAAAATTCCAAAATTACGGTTAAAAACAAAGATTACCATTACGGTAATTAATACGAAATAAAAATACATTAAATATGGCACCTGATGTATTGTTTACTTCAACGGCGAAAATAAAGAGAAAATCGTTATTGTTGATTCGTTGAGATATGCTTACCATTAACTGTGAAAGGTTTGAAAAGTTGTCATATAACTTTGGATCAAGCTTTTGAATAGAAGATTTCCTTAACCTGAAAAAAAAAGAGAGAAAACGTATTTATAAAACACAAAAGTGTGTGTTTTTTTTTACTTGATAAACGTTTACGTTTACATGTAACGATTAATTAATCTAACAAAACAGTTGAATTTTTAGGAAAAAAAAGAGTCTTTTCTGAAAAGAAGTTTAAGTCAGTGTAATATATGTGTGTCTAACAGGCTTCAAACGTCAAAGCAAATTAACAAATTTTGTTATTTCTTTATTTTAGAGTAAAACCACATAAGGTTCTATCTGCTGTGTCCATCGCAGGTAATCGAACCCCGGATTTTTGCGTTGAAAGTATGTAATATTACCGCTTTCCCGACAGGGGACCAAAGTTTACTTCTCGCCATAACTTAAAACCAGTAAAAACGGTTAAAATAGCACATTGTGAAGAAATGTTTACTGTACAGAATGCTATATGCTCGGACATAAACATAAAGTTTTTAGAACCAATTAAAACAATAAATTTATTTTAAATGACCAAGAAAAATAACCTTTATTACCTCAACACAATTCTTATCTGTTAATTTTCAATATTAGATAGTATTATATTATTATTTTACGACCTTAGCCCCATTTACTTGGAGGTCCTTCAGTATATATTTTTAAGCAGCAAGATGGCCAGGGTATATGAACCGGAAGTGTAGGTGCTTTATAGAAAATTGTTTGTTTGTTTCGAATTTCGCGCAAAGCTACACGAGGGCTAGCTGCGCTAGCCGTCCCTAATTTAGCAGTGTAAGACTATAGGGAAAGCAGTTAGTCATCACCACCCACCGCCAACTCTTGGGCTACTCTTTTACCAACGAATAGTGGGATTGACCGTCACATTATAACACACACACGGCTGAAAGGGCGAGCATGTTTGGTGGGACGGGGATTCGAAGCCGCGACCCTCAGATTGCAAGTCGAACGCCTTAACAACCTGGCCATACCGAGCCTGGGGTTATGAAGTAATTATTTTAACATATTCAAAACACAAACCCTTATATTAGTCTACATAGTTTTTCATTTGTTGATAGCCGCTATCAGGCCTAGCATGGCCTGATGGCTAGAGCGTTTGACTTGCAATCTGAAGGTCTCGAGTTCGAATCCTTGTCATTGAACATGCTCGTCCTATATTGTTGCTAACGAGCTCCACAATGCGAGCATGACAAAAAAGGTTTTTTGTAACACCTTTAATATATAATGATACAAAAACTAAGTTTCCGCAAAGCTTCTTATATGATGTCATACGTGCTATTATAATATTATGGTTTTCGTAATTTTTAGGATCAAGATAATAGGTACTTAAAATTGGAATTAACAAAAGGCGGTGGATATACACTGGTCAAAAAACATTAACTGAAACTCATTTCTTGTCTGAACAATATTAGTAAGTAGAGAGAGTAGAAACCATTGGAATATTTTTGTCCTTAGCAGTAACGCTCGAAGTTAATATTGTAAATGCGTCAACGAACGTTCCAGTCTATTATTACGAATAAACATCCCTAACAGTAATAAATATGTGTTTATAAGCCACATGCCAAATTCAATTGTTCCATAGAAAGTCTTTTGTTACATTTTGTTACCTATACTCAGTAGCCTTGTGTTCATATTTAGTTTTTTTGTGAATATAATACGCTTTAAACGCCGAAAGTTGGTGAAGTATTTAAAACCCAATAGGCCTAAAAACTGTTATAAAAACAAGTGAAAAAATACTTGCATTTAATTTGCTTTTATAGCAATTTCTAAACCTATAGGCTTTCTAATACTTCGCGAGCAATCCGTATTTAAACCTTAAATTTTAAAGAATTGTACTGCATGTATAAATAGCATGGAACTATAGGAATATATTGTAAATAATATTGTTCCAACAGTACTCCCACTAGAATTACCTATTGTTATTACAAATTGTGATAGCCGGGAAGTGGAGTCTTTCAGCAAATTCCACGTCCACATACATAGTACTTGGATATTGGTAGTATATAATCAAGAAGCTTGATGTTTGGTAGGTAAAGCCAATGAGACAAGCCAAGAAGAACACCGATTTTATAATTTTTCGTGGAATGGACTTAAGCGATACGAACTGACTGACCAAAGCCATTTGAGACTGTTGAAACAACTCGCCACAGTATCTCTTTAGATCTGATGAATCTTCACTACTAGCCATATGGCTAAAGTCTTTTGGTTTGTCTTTCTTCTCCATTGAACCTGCATAAAAATAAACAATAAAGTGCTTTTGATAATGATAAAACAACGCATGCTATAAATACACGAGGATTCCAACAATATCACATTAAAGAAGATCAAAAATGCTTAAATACATTTGATCATTCAATCTTACTTGAAGAAATACACCGACACTGCCTAGCCTTCTTATCATGTATATTAATTAGTTTGAACGATAATGAATAATAGACAGGATTCGGCAATATTCAGAGGGCATGATTATGAGTACATTTACCATTAGTGTCCTTGTTAAAGACCGTTTATTTGACCGGCTAATAATTTGAGCAGACTTCGTCTCCTCCACTCTTAGTACTGCAAATATTGTAAAACTATAATTTCAGATCTGTGATTCAATACGAAATATAAATAGCAATCTAATAAGTATTTGTTACTAGTGTTTAAAACTAAAGAAAACATTTGCAGCTTTTAAGATATTATGCAGGTGTTTCAAGGCATAATACTAAACAGACAAAGTAATTACTTGTACGTAAAAAAATATATGTACATATTTTCTTTAAGTTATTTAAGAAATAGTACATATGCGATGTCGGAATAGATAAATATGAGGCTTACATTTATTTTGTAGCATTCATCTGCGTGCGTGAGTTTAACTTTTTTACGATGTTTATCTGAAAAACTTAAATATCTTCTATGTTGTATACGTATTTATGAAGAATTTAAAGTTTTTATCATGGTCTTTTTTTTCGTATCTAATACCTTTGCCTAGCTTCATTATTATTATTTGAGTTGCGCATATGGTTGCGCTTCTGCAAGTAGCTACGAACTAAATAAAAGTTGACATTTCGCCTGAAAATATTTGATTTTAGAAAATACTGTTTGCTAGCTGGAACATATAAATACCGTTTGAAATTTAAAATGTGAAACTCGGGGAATATTTCCACAGAAAACGCGATATATTACATGTTAATTAATCTTAAAAAATTTGAATATGCCAACAGCAAGTACATATATACTGCACAACGTAACTACGTTTATTCTCTCGTAAAACAGTTGTTACACCTATAAATGGCATGTGTTATAGGTATAAATAATAACTCATAATTTCAATCAGAGGTTTGAGCAAGTAGACTTAAGCTTTTGTTGCAGAATTTTCACGAAATCTGTACAATGGGCTATCTACGCTTAGCCAGCCCTAATTCCGGTCTGACAGATGAGCATTTTTTCTAAGTTGGGCCTAGCAAGGTGAATCTGTTACTTAAGTTTTTTGTATGTTCCTGTTGTCTAATTTTCTTCTAAAATAAACTTAACAACATGTTCGTGTTACCTTACTAGCAGGAAAATCTTGCTAAGTTTATTTTAAAAGAAACCTAATTTTCTTCTAAAATAAACTTAGCAAGATGTTCGTGTTTCCTTACTTTCTTCTAAGATAAACTTAGCGAGATTTTCCTACTACTTAATTTACTTCTAAAATATACTTAGCAAGATGTTCGTGTTTCCTTACTTTCTTCTAAGATAAACTTAGCAAGATTTTCCTGCTACTTAATTTACTTCTAAAATAAACTGTACACCTGAGTACACTCAGTACACCTGAGTAGCTCAACGGTTTAGAGCATTGATCATGTTAGCCAGAAGTCTGAGTTGAACCTTAGAAGAAGAGTCTGATACCTAAATATATTCTAAGTTGAAACTAACAAGATAACACTGCTACCTAAATATATTCTAAGTTGAAACTAACAAGATAACACTGCTACCTAAATATATTCTAAGTTGAAACTAACAAGATAACACTGCTACCTAAATATATTCTAAGTTGAAACTAACAAGATAACACTGCTACCTGATATTTTTCTACCTTGAACCTCAGAAGAAGAGTTTGTTAGCTAACTTTCCGCTACCTAATTACGGGCACAGAATGTCAAACTTCGGCCTACAAGATAAAGCTCTGTGCTTCAAGGAACAGACTTTATATATCTGAGACATTTATTGTTTGTTAAGAGCACACACACTACAGACCAGACTATGAACGATCCAAAGCGTGTAATGTCATCAGATAAATCATATTTTACCCTTTTATGTACAAACAGTAGTTTACCGATCGTGTTATTCTGCCTGTGAAAACTGACGTTCTCGTGGCAAAGGTTGGATCCTTTGATTATACCTCAAATGTGTATTGTTCTGCCCAACATAATAGTTCATGTTCTTTTGAAATATATCGCTATACTGTAAGTAAACAACATGCGACGTATAATTTTATTTTTAACAATAAAAAAAAAAAAACTCGTAAAAAACGCTTTCATAACACAAAACAGCCACTGGGGGTGCGTATGTGCTTTCTTAGAATTTTATCAACAAAAATATCAAAATTACATTGGAAGCTTGACAATTAGACCGTCATTATTCATCATATCAAGGTTATAGAAAAAGTACAATAATACTCTGAAAACTATTGTTTTACTTTACTTCACTTGCTTACATTATTATTGTAAACATTTTTCCTTTAGTATTCACTGTCGCTTAGCAACCTGCAATCATTACGTTTCGAGCTCAAGACGTGAAACCAGGATAATTATGTTCTAACAAATACAACATTTTGGCTTTAAAAGCTTTATTGAAAAACGCTGATATTTTTGAAAGCCTCGTGAAGTACAAACGTCGAATAGAATAGAATAGCAGTAAGAAAATAATTGTAAATATATAAATCTTCTAGTAAACCTTTTTTGAACACACCATCCCAATGACTGCACAACAGAGAGTCTATAATCATATTTGCGCCACTAAAATCTACATTTAAACCTATTATCCCACATTCGAACGATTTGTTTGTTTGTTTTGAATTTCGCGCAAAGCTACAAGAAGGCTAGCTGCGCTAGCTGTCCCTAATTTCCAGTGAAAGACTAGAGGGAAGGCAGCTAGTCATCACCACCCATCGCCAACTGTTGGGCTCCTCTTTTACCAACGAATAGTGGGATTGACCGTCACATTATAACGCCCTCACAGCTGAAAGGGGCGAGCATGTTTGGTGGGACGGGGATTCGAAGCCGCGACCCTCAAATTGCGAGTCGAGCGTCTTAACAGCCTGGCCATGCCGGGCCTGTTCGAACGAACGTGAGAGTCTAGAATAACGTTTCCAACCCTAAACCCTACATTTTAACCCATCATCCCATGATCGAACAAGAGGAGAGTCTACAATGACACGTGCAACACCAAAACCCGTACGTATTTTCATGCAACAGCATTGTGACTAACACAAAACATGTTAATGTTAAAAACCGAAAGATCAAACCAAAATTGTCCAATTCATGGTCAAATTTACGCGAGATTCAACAAACGAACAAATAAGTTTGTTGTTGTTTCTATCAGTTGTTCTTGAAACTAGTGTTAATGTAAACTACAGATTTCTTCCATCATGTCGTTGTTCTTCCCAACAGTAGTCTTTCTAGATTATAGTTAAATAATCAAAGATCTACTAACCATTCCCTCTAAGGCTCAAATATTTTGAAGCAACAACATAAAATATTCAATATACAGTACAACGCATCTCCAAACTGGAATCAAACATAAATTATCATTGCTCCTACCCCCCTCCCCCCCACTCCTCCACACTTTAAAACTCGATGACATTCTGCTCTATTCGCCCCTAATCTAGAAGTGATGAATTATAGGAAAGGCAACTAGTCACCACCACCCACCGCCAACTCTTGTGCTACTCCTTATCAAGAAAATGTTCGTCACATTACCATGACCCCATGGCTGAAGGAGGGAACATGTTCGGTAACAGGATTCGAACCCGCGGCCCATAGATTGTGAGTCGAGCATTCTAACCGCTCAGAGACAGGACTGAATATTTAAATTAAAAATTATTTCTGTAAATAAACTTAACTTTCTGAAAGGTCTTTGCTTGGACTTATTATGAAGATGTCTTAAGTTGATTTCATCCATTATTTCCAAAAAATGCTGAGCCTATTTTTAAATGACAGTGTTTTTATATTAAATACTAGTTATAATATTCTCGAATTTTGTGAGAATTGTTTAGTTAACTCGAGCGCTTTCTGAAAGAAGATTTTCCTTTCTCTGCCCCGATGGCTTAGGGGTAGGTCTAAGGGTTTATAATAATAAAAATCGGGTTTCGATACCTGCAATGGGCAGACCACAGATAGGCCATCGTGTAGCTTTGCGTCTAAAGCAAACAAACAATCTTTTTTTTTCCGAGGTGAGCTCGAAATGATCGAAAATCGTGAAAGTCTGTCACGTGTTCTTCACTCCAACAACTTGAAAGTTTTTGTATTGGTTCCAAAACAGATGTTACTGTGATGAACTTGATTACTGGTTCTAGAACATGTCAACGAACTGCCGAGTATAGTGAATATGAACGTTTTTCAAGATTCTTCACAATTCACTGAAAGGTCGTACTATAATATGTCATATTGTTGTTGTTTGTGACTATAGTATGTCATTTTGTTGTTGTTTGTGAGTATACTATGTCATATTATCGTTGTTTGTGAGTATAGTATGTCATATTGTTGTTGTTTTTGAGTATACTATGTCATATTATCGTTGTTTGTGAGTATAGTATGTCATCTTGTTGTTGTTTGTAACTACAGTATGTCATATTGTTGTTGTTGTTGTCTGTAACTATAGTATGTCATATTGTTGTTGTTTGTGAATATAGTATGTCATATTGTTATTGTTTGTGAATATAGTGTGTCATATTGTTGTTGTTGTTTGTGAATATAGTATGTCATATTGTTGTTTGTGAATATAGTATGTCATATTGTTGTTGTTTGTGAATATAGTATGTCATATTGTTGTTGTTGTTTGTAACTATAGTATGTCATATTGTTGTTGTTTGTGAATATAGTATGTCATATTGTTGTTGTTGTTTGTAACTATAGCATGTCATATTGTTGTTGTTTGTGATTTGTAAATTATTTCTAAATCATCCTACCCATTCTTATCGATGTCCAGGAAGACATTTGCCGAAATCGGATGATCCTACTACAGTTGACCCTCTTAGTA